GACGCGGTGATCCAGCGACGCCGCCATGGGTCGGCCCTTGCCGTCAAGCGCGGGGTCACGGGTGGCTCTATTCGGCCCTACTCCGCACGGCCCCGACACCCACGGGCGGCGGCGGGGCGAGGCCTCTCTGCCACCGTTGTCGTTCGCTTCTGTTCTCCCTCGAGGGCGCCCTTGTCCCGCGACGGCTGTTGACTTCTGGTGCCGCACTCGCCTCACCGCGAGGACGTCCTAACGTCTAAGCTATACACAACTTATACTACCAAAAAAAGAACGCAAGGAAACGCAACGAATATTCGGTCTCCTCTCCTCCTCGGCCTTGAGCGTCGAGCGTGCTGAAATAAGACATGGATGTAATGATACGAGAAAATATATTATCACTGCCTTCGGAAAGGATTTTAATGCTTTGACGGATGGAGGTTTTAAGATATGGAGCCCTGGGACGATCGCCCACCGGGTGCATCGTCACAATATTAATACATTAAGAATGACCACTGCAGCTGGTTCCATGGATTTCCAAAGATCAATTATATCTTTTGGCTGCCCTTCTATGACGCTTGGGCCCGAAGGTCCCCGACCCGCGAGGAAGCACTGCCGATTCGCGATATTTAATTCATTTTTTCTGCGCATTGACCACCATTTTGTCTCTTTGATTGTTTTTCATTTCAAGTATCTGTCCCGTAAGAGCTCCCGAGTCGCGTCATTCGGGATGGTCCACCTATTTTTGTCTGAAAATAATTAGAATATCCGTTTCGTAATTTAGAATATTGTGTGGAATATTCTTTGAATATTCCATCGAATATTCGAGAGGCATTCTAGCATGCCGTAGAGCGACTTCGAGCTCGCCACGTAAACATCGCCGACCTCCTAAAGGTCGCGGGCACATCAACGCTCGCCGCTCCAGGAGTCGCTTTGGAAACAACGGTCGGCGGCTAGAGCAGGGACAACACATCGGAGAGAAGAGCCACGGTCTGTCCGTCGAGCCCCCGGAGGGGTACCAGCCGACCCCGTCTTCGCCACCCTGAGGGCCCTGCCCCCCGGGGCAGGGCCCTCGGTTAATCCTGGATGCTAAAAGAGGCCCGCCCGAAAGAAGACCAGGACTATTCGGACAGGAACCGGGCCAGGAGGCTTGATAATTTTTCCCCGGTCCCGATCGGCATGTCGGCGAATTAATAGCCGCGTCCCGAGAACTCCCGCTCGCGGCCAAGTTACAGCGCCAGGGAGCGGGCACAAAGGTCTCGGACACATGTGCCCGGCGTCCAGGACGCCTGCCTTCCAGGTCAGGAACCCAACCCTCCGTCGCCGAAAGACCCAGGTTTTGCTGCGGTTTGGCCCGGGTGAACCGGGGATCTTCGGAAGGAAATTTTTGGGCGGCCACTCAAGGAAGAGAGTGGTGCGCCGAGGGCCCCGCTGGATCCACCACCGGCTACGGCCATGGATCCCGAAGAAGTGCGTAGCGCGCGAGAGGCGCGCACCACCAATCCCGCCGTCACCACCCCTCATACGCGCTATCCGTCAAGCGTCAATTAGCGCAACGCAACGCGCAACAACTTTAAGGAATCGGACGACCGCGGAGCGCCTGCAACCAATCATCATGCAGCAACTTGGATTTTGGGGGGGCCCACCCGAAATCCTTTATTCGGCCGGACAGCAAGAGCTCCAGCCTTCTTCGACTTCGGATAGCCGGGCCAGTCGCATCAGCAGCAATTCTATAGTTCTCGGTTCTTGAAATCTCGCGAGTGCCTAGATCTCCACGTCGCAGCCCGAAGATTCGCCGCGCAAGAAGCGAAGGCGACAACACAGCTGGTGAGCGGTGACGACGGCCCTCAGGTAAAGTGCGTGCCCGTTTTCCGCGATTCGGGGATCCTAATTTTGAGTATTGATGTTATAATTCGGCAGTTTTTCACTTTAGAGTCCGACCCAGGGTACTTACCTGATATTCTCTGCATTTCTCTCTCTCCGGGATTCTCTGATTTTCGGAATTAGTTCATTTTCTGTAGCACGGGTTAATAAGCGACTATATTTCGCGCTCGATTTCCTGCCTTACCTTATATTGCCTAGGGGCTTTTTCCCCCTCTGTTATTAAAAAACTGGTGGACCATAAGTCTCGTGCCGGCGATCGGAACGGTTGTCGAGTAGGCGGTCGGTCCAAGATTCGCGCGAGCGGGCACCCTTTTTCCCGTTTTAGTACGATGTTCCTGGTTAACCTTAACCCTACTCGATTAGTTTTGAGAATCCGGGAATACGAGAGCGAGCAACAATCCCTATCGCGTGTGAGACCGATGAGTCCTAACACCCGGGTATTTTTGCGTGTTCGACTAGTGGCACTTTGCCGAATTCTTTTTCTAGTGTATTTTGCGTCGTGTTCATGTGTCCGCCCAACTTTTTCGGTCGCGATGTTCGGGGTACGAATTTTTGGTCGCGAGGCAAAGAGCCAAACTTTTTCGTGACACAATACGATGAGCTTTTTTAAAATTATATAACCATTTTGACGATGCATTAAAACTCATGTCGTTTTTGTCTGTTCTTTCCATGCTTCTAGAGCCCATTTTTGGATAACTGCGTCATGTACTATAAAACCATCAATAGCGTTTCGTAATTTGTTCAGCGTGAATGTAGAGACATACAGTAATTTTTCTTTTCGACATCCTCCATCATCCACTTGGTTGGCCCACCTTCTTAATTCACGAGCATCAGAAAGTTTCCTAAATCGTTGTTGGACGGTGGCAAATTTGAGATTGCCGGACTTTCCACTTCTCCAGAATTCTACTGCTCTCTTTTTATAGTCGATGTTAACCGCTGTGTCTTGGCAAACCGATGAAGATGGTTGTGGCACCGTTTCGTCAGTCCACTCTTTCTCACCTTCAACATACTCAACCTCCCGTGCTTGAAAAGGTTCTTAAAAATCCAATGTTGAATCTTCAGTAATCTCAAACGAATTAAATTGGAATATGCTATCCAAAAGAATCGTTTGAACAGATTCTTTTAACAGTATTTCTTGTCGATTGTCTTCCGTCTCCATTAAATACATAGTTTGAAACGTAGCTAACAAAAAGTTGATCACGTTTATAGGATTTATAATCATTACGCACAAATATATCGTTGCACGTCGACAAAATAATTTCATAAGGACGAAGTCCTTATCAGAACTGATCAGCATCGAATCCAGTGTAGACTTTATAAGAACGCACGTCGGCGTAGACGATTCCAAATTTGATTTGATTCAACGTACTATTCCTGTACCTTAGGTATCGAATATTGCTGACTCTATTTTTTCGTAAAACCAGTGAAAATCCAATTTTATCGTTTCACCACGGAGATCGTATTACTAGTTGGAAACGGGTGACGACTGCAGAGGGAAAATTTCAGGAATCTTCTCCGAGGACGGGCCTCGGGGAAGCTGGGGATAATCCTTCGTCTTTGCCATCCGGCTTCACTTTCGCGGGAAGAGTCCAAATCTTGGGACGCCCGGCGCCTAACCGGTCTACAAGTTAGTGCTCAAGGGTGGGTTCGAACCAGAGCGGAGGTAGAGTTTAGGGACCCCAGGAGACCCAAGTCTCCCAGCCTAGTGCCCTTTTCGTGAACCTAGGTATCCGACGGATCGGATATATGCTATAACGTACACGTTTTCGAAACGTATTCCGCTGGAACTTCGAAGCAAACTGATGACATTTGTCTTGCCACAATTCGATGGTTCACCGATGGCTTCACGAATCGCATCGGGCAACAAAGGCCTGTGCGGCGAACTACGACGTCTTGCATAAGCCATTATGTCATCCAGAGAGGCCACGTGTACCGACTTGGTGGGACAACACTTGAAGAATCGCAACTCGCTATTACATTCAAGCGAACCATCAGCGGACGCATGTATATATCGTGGTGAGGTAAATTTTTGGCCATATCACGCTCCCCAAACATTCTTAATTTAGCCCACTTTTGGAGTTCAAAATAATCCGGGGTCCGGCGGTCACCGATCTAGGGGAGCGGGAGAACAATGACAATTAAATAGGTAATTTTGTATGCCTATTGTTATAGGTCGAATTTTCCAGGATTCTCTGATTTTTTGTAAAGCATTCATATTTATTCAGGTTTTAGGGCGCGTTCTCGTGCATTCGCCGAAATATTTTGAAGAATATTCGGTCGAATGTTCTAGATCTGGCGAAATTTCGTTAGACTTTGCGAAACTCTAGCCGTTGATCCTGCATATCAGCAGCGGCGACGTTACGGAGGTCGCGCATTCGCTACCGCTTGTCGCCCTGACCTCAAAAACAAAACCGTCGAGGAAGGCACAGCGTATGGAGACATCAGGCCCGGAGGCATCGACTGCGGTGCCACGGCCAGCCCATGATAGTGGGGGCGGTAATGGCGTAGGTACTGTATACCCTTCGGGGTGCCGATAGGAGTCAACGACTCAGGTGCGGTTGGCCTACGGGCCGGTACGTCGTGGATTGTCCTTTAATAGTATCGCGGAACTTATAATTACTTGCATTTCGCTATCTTACTTTATGTTTCCCAATCTATTGTATTCTTATTATTTGATAGTCGGGTTGGCCGGTCCCGGAAATTAAGGCAGGATGACTTTTGGTAACGAAAATTTCGTTTAAATTTGAATACCTTCCTTGAAAACCCGGGTTTCCCGGTCTTGATTCGATATTTGCAAGCGCGTGTAGGAAATAGTTGCACGTGCAGATAACGTTACGCGAAACGTAATAATATATTTGTAGATCAAAGGTGGATATATCATTTTCATCTATAAGTCACAGATATTTTTATAGTCAAAAATTTATTTCAAATATTAACGAAAAGAGGTAAAAGTGTTTTATTTTCAGAATCTCTGAATTAGGGGTAATTACTTTAATGTGAACTCTTTACGTAACGTTTCAAATTTGAAAATCTCGTTTGAAATGTTAACAAAATGGAGTTGCCTTGATATGCAATTAACTAAATGATTAAGTTGATTAAGAACAGAGGTTCTGTTGAAAGTGGAAGGCAATGAAACTCACCATTAGAAGTTTGACCTTGCTAACAAAGGAAGATGTCGTCAGGAACTTGTTGACGGCCGTCAATATTTTCCCTTCCAACGTGGTAACGTCTTCGGCGTCTTGGTCTCGTGAACATTCGGGCCCAAATTCGGCTCTGCTCCTGGCCGGTAGCCCCCAAGACCATCCACTGATGATACAGGAAAACGGTGTCCGACCTCGAGGAACTTCACTCACACTTTCGTTTTTGAGGTTTCCAGTCTTTATTTCAGCCACGTGGTTAATAATTTTCACCGTACTTTAACACGTGTTTAACATTAGGCGCGTCCTCCGCAAAACTTTTTCATCCTTCGATCGCGATCGGTACACTTTGTTCTTTTTCTTTAAACTTATCGAAAAAGGGACTTACACGAATAAAATCGAGTTTTGTTAGGTAGCACCCTTTTAAAGAATCTTGAACTTCTGAAAAGTTTATCGTTGTTTATGGCTATAAGCTTTAAAAAATCAAACGGTAACAGTCCTGCATATGGATCTAACAACTTTATCAAAACAGGCCAAACAAAAAGTCCCCGGATAGCACAATGATCACTAAAAAATGTTTGTATGATAACGAATTTTCCGAAAAGCCATCTTTTGGTAATAGCATATAATCGATAAAAAGAAGACGCAAAGGTGTCTTATGCATTGGATTCTGACATCTTTTAGTCAAGATTAAAGGATCACAAAATTCAGAAACCTTTTCATCGGCTTATATTTGATACTTTTTCGTCGACTTAAAAGCGTAGTTTTCGATAATTTCTCCTTCTTCCTACCCTCTCCCTCTCCCTCTCCCCCTCCCTTTACGACGAGACGGTTACCTTTTGCTGTGACATTTCAAACAGAAGATCGAATCCCGTCGAAACTAATTAGCACGGTTATCTTATTTCCGTAAAAATAACAATAAGTTTATGTTATAGCTGTATTTCATTAAAGTTTGGAAAAATTGTAAATATAATTTGATTACACAGTTTTTTAATCATTTGTGAAAAACAGTAAATATCTCAGTATCAATTACTATATTTCTGATTAATTCTATTCCCCTTGCTATGAACTCTTGGAATCGCTACCAATAAATGTTTAACTATTACTAAAATTATAATAAGTGTAATATGAAATTGCCAATTGTAGACGCAATGTTATTTTAATATCACAAATTTCTTCCAGTGTACCAAAATCAAGATAGGAACTATATCAACTTTAATTGTTAATCAAGATAAAATAACAGATGATAGCGATCCTTCCGCATCGGAAATTGAGTTTATCTTTCTATAAGAACGTAAAGCTTTAATTTTTAAATTATATTCATGCATAAAACTATATCTGAACAAAATGGCGCTGATGCTGCCACCTTCCGCTTACTCTCTGACATGATATAGACGGCTTTTCACTTCCTCTGTTAGGCACTCACAAGGAAGTGATAAATTCTTTAAAACACTATATGTAAGTAATATTTCGGTTTGTTCAATTTCGTTCGTTATGTTCGGTTTCCATTATCAGTCTACTTGATATCAAAGAACAATTGTTATGAAATATTACTGTGAAGGAAAAATCGAAAGTGAATCACATGTCTGGACGAATCGTGTAGACGTATTACATTGTTTTATATTTAGATTGTATTAATATAAAAACTGAACGTAACCGTGTTTCTATTTTTCATTGCAACTGTAGTTCTTAAAAATGAGAGAATTAAATATTACTTACATGTAGTGGTTGAAAACCTGGCACTGCTTACTGCTCGCTCGCGCGGCGTTACCACTCGGCTACGCACTAGTTGCGAGGACAGCTAACTCCACTGTCTTATATTCTACGAATCACATTCCTTTGAACCCAAGGGGTAATTTACCCTTCGAATGTATCGGATGGTACCTGATCGTATTCTTTTATTAATTTTAATTGTTAAAGTCCTTTAAGTCCATGGAAGTCGTACAAAGCTGGTTTTAAAACGAGATTATACATCATTTTATTAAAGGGTTGTTACAACCCTTAAAATTCGTTTTCCGAAAAAAACCAAAATATACTTTTTTTGTATTGTTCTGGTCTATAAATTAACCAAGTTTCATTTGGATAGAGCAATTACTGCTCGCGTAAGGGGTAAAAGAAGTATTAAAAGGGGTGGCTCACCCCTTAAAAATGAATTTTTTCGAAAAATTCCAAATGCATGTTTCATAATTCTTCATTCCCTACATTTTGACGGTTGTTTCATGAAAATCGGTCGAGTGCTTCTAAATGAAACAGCCAACTCACCCCCTTGCACGACCAACCTTGAAGCCTGATTTCACCCCCTAAAAGTGTTTATCCGCCAATAAACAAAAACACGGGTCCCTTAGATTTTAATTCTCTATAACATATTTAAAAATGAACAAAATCGGAGGGGGACACCTCAGGTACCTTCCTTGTCAGACAGTGACATATTTCGAACTACTATGTTTGGCAAAATACAATGTTAGACGTCATCTTTTAGATATCATCTTCGTCATGACGAAGAGATCACATGAAAAAAAGAGGCTTCGTCATCTTTACGGTAGATGTGCTGCCTGGGTTATTTCTACTTGTACATAATAATACTTTATCACTAGAATTGCCAGCGGATTTTTTTTATATTTGATGAGTCATTTGAAACCAGTCATTTTGACTAATTTGCTAGTTATAGTGTTAATTAACAGAGAAAAATCTGGTGGAAAGTTCTTGCATTACTAAACAAAAACGAAAAAATAATACACGGTGTAATTTGTACCAAGAAAACCATTAAATATCACACATTATGACATTAAAATAAGTTCTTCTAAACGTTTAACTGTGTTTTTAATGTCCTAAATTTCCTTAATGAATAACAGACTTATTGAAACTAAGTAGAATCTCTGTTTTATATAAAAATAGATATTTCATCAGAAACTAATAATGAACAGATTTCCCCAAGACCTGAGAATAAAATCAAAATGGTTATCAACATCGAATAAATTCCATGGAAAACGGTATAATTACGGTAAGAGATTAGTAGTTACTCGTAGCTATATCATTACTATTTAACGTAAATGTTCTTAAGTATTGCTGGATATACACGTTAATACTTAAGACTGTAAGTATAACAAATTATGATATTGCATGTAAACGAAATTATTCGATTTTCTCTTCTGCAGTTTTAATTTTGATGAAGGGATGGCGATCTAGAACGATATGAGATATTGGACGAACTGTGAAGTGATGCACCACTGTAATAGATTTTTTAAATTAAAAGGTCTTATATGACACCCGAGCCTCGACCATTTGAGGAGTAAAATGCTGGAAAACGAGATGTAACGAAAAAGCGTTACGCATTGGAATGTATCCCCTCTCTCTTTCCCGCATACCAAGCCTGTGACGTCCTCTATCCCGTCCATGTGTGTGTGCGCGCGCGCGTGTGTGTGCGGTGTGTGCGTGTGTGCACGCGCGTATATATAGTATTTGGCATGTCGTCGTGTGTCGTCATAACGACGCGGCGACGTGTCCATACTAACTCGAACGAGCTGATGTTAGTCTTCTTCATTAGCCGTGCGAATGTGTACATTAGTGAGTACTGACATTGAGTAGTATTTTGTGTCGATTTTCACGTATATATTGATGAATATATCAGTCTGTATGTACATATGCAATGGGAAATAATATAAATGAAAGTGAAGAGAAAGCAAACCCGATAACTTGCAAAGCTGGACCTTTCAATTTTGTGAATTAAAGTTCCGCTATTATATAATGCACATGAATTGCTTAAGTATTACTTCGGTCATGCGTCCCGCGACACGCACACTTTTTTACTGCCTACTTAGGCACCTCTGAATGTACAGTATACGTAATTTAGTCGTTTATCAAATTTTATTGAATATACGCAAGATATCGAGAGATGTCTATGAACTCTATTTTAGATATACTCAAAGACTAAATGACCTGATATTAAGCATAACATATACAGGGTGTCCTATACTAGATAATTAATCTGTCAAGGGGTGAAAGAGGGTAGAATTTTGAACTAGAAGTTCGTTTTCCATTTTTGGCTGAGAACATTTTTTTTCGAGTTATTAGCAATTAAAGTTGACCAACGAGACAGCGCGGAGCCGGAGCACATGTCTTACGTTCCTCCAAAAAAAATTTCATTTTAATACGTCAAAGTATTTAATAAATGAATGAATAAATAAATAAGAATAGAATCGGGTGAAACCCGATGCGTTCATTTATCCGGGTCTGGATCCGGTAAGCGAAGGTTCGGCGGCATCGTCTGAGCGTCGGTTCTCTTGGATCAAGTTAAAATAATGACTTAAGAAAAATAACACCCGAGGACGAGTCTTTTGTGCCGTAATGATCGCTCGATGACAAGAACATTTTTAAGGTGAAGTGAAACACGTCGAGAAACTTGATCAACGTCGATAAAGAAGATTTTTCTAAATGCCTACGTTGCCGACGTTCGTTTTTATATCGACAGCTGGGTCGAATTGTGTTGTGTATTTTACCAAATGGCATATTCCACCTGTCGTTTTCGTACAATAATTATAAAGAAATCGAAGTAAAACTCTAGAAATCCTCTGGATTCATGCCTTCTGGGGCCCTAATTAACTGCGGGGGGACCCCCTGCGCCATCTGTGATTTCCAGGTCAATTAAAGTTTCACTCCGAGACCTCGTATTACCATCGTTTTAGCATAGAAGCGCATACAACACTTTTTTTGCCTTTATCCCGTTCAAATGCGAGTTCATGGAGTACCGGAGTGTTCTAAATTGTTGTAAAATTGTCCTGCCCCTTTCAATTCTCATATCAGAGCCTTCAATAATTGTATATTGATCGAAATATGAGAGCTCGACGCCATTTTGGTTCTGGTCTGGGCTGAATTAAAAAATTTGTTTACAAAATCCAAATTTTGTATGTGTCAGGACAATTCTTAGATGATCAGGAGTAATGTGTCAAAGTTTCGGACAGTTTGGTCTAATAGCCTTAAAAAAAAGTGTTGTATTCGAGTCGACTGATTTGAAGGATGTTTCACTTCACCGTAAGGTGCCGTAATGATAATTCGATGGCGAAAGTAGTCTTTTTCGTGCCGTAATT